CTTCATCATTAAGGTGCTTGGAGTCTGAATCTAGTAGGGTGGAAAAGAGTGAACCCGTGGTGTAGTGTGGTACATAAAATTATATAGAAATATGCCAAAAAACAATTGCAAAATAAATTGGCTAGAATAACTAGGAAACCATTCCTAAAAGATAAGGGAGAGGTTTGGGGTTGATGTGAAGACCAAAGCACGTGTTGCAAGAGGTGATGTGATAGCACCAACAGCCTCTGGAGCAGCTGGTAGCCAGGGCTGAGAAGGAAAGGCATTGAGCTGCTGGCATGAGGGAGTATTGTCTCCCAGATTTTTCTCTGCCCCCAGGGAGCTCCTCTACATACTTGTGTTCAAGTATCTTCCATCACGAACTCTGCCACTTACCATTTTCCTCATCTCACACGTGAGCGTGGTACTTGTCTCTCAGAACTGGTGGGAGGATTAAAAGTGACATCACGTGTGCTGTGCCTGGCACAGTACTGTGCTCATTTTATGAGGCCTCTGTCAGCCCACAGCCCTCCACATCCACTGCTTCCAGGCATCCATCCCGCAAAAGCAACTCAGGACATCATGGTGACATAGGCCTCCATAAAGGTTTACATGAGAGTAGTCAAAGCCACAGGACTAGCTCAGCATTCCCCTCTCTTGATTCTTGACAGAGGGAGCACACTGTAGCAGATGGGGTTAGCGCAGGGAGTCCCGAGACCTGGGTGCTGGAACCAGCTCCACTACCATCTGAGTTTGTAACTTTGGGCAAGTTTATTTCCCTTGTTCAACTCCTTTTACCTGATTCTTGAAGTAATGACCAATCTCCCTCAACAGGCATTGGTATTATCTCCCACATGCCGGGCACCACGCCAAGGTACAGGATATGGTCCCTGCCTTCTAGGAGCACAGGGTCCAGTAGAAGTGGAAAGACACAGACCCAAAACACAAGACAGAGTAAGGGTTATGATGGAGAGCTGTGGGAGCAAAGAGGAAGGAGTGATTGAAGTGAAAAGAAGAATTAGAGGACCTGCAACACCTTTGTGGAGCAAAAAGCTTCTTTTGCACTTTGTATAGGATTTTGATGCATCAAGGAGGCATTCCAGAGAAAGGCAAATAATGCAAGGCCAAGGCTAGAGCTTAGACCATGTGGAATGTGTTTAGGGATGAGTGAGTAGTTCTGTGAGTTAGGAGGATGCTGGAGCAGAGGGAGGTTGGGACATAAGCTAGTGGGTGCTGAAGGGGAAGGGTTTTGATGTGCTGATCCAAAGGGTTCAGTCCATGCTCAGGAAAGGGGATGGCAGCACCAGCACTTTTCTTTATTCATTTGTTTACTTATATATTCATTTGCTTGTCCATTCAACAAACATTTATTCGTTATTCATTATTTACTGTGTGACAAACACTAATCCGGCGCTGAGGAGACAAAAATGAATAAGACACGGTTTCTTTCCTTGAAGAAATCACAGTCTGGTGGAGGAGACAAGTAACAAGGATACATAACACAGATAACAATCACTACGTGATCCAAGAACAGAGTTGACCAAGTGCTTGAGTATGCTTGGAGGTAGAGGACATAAGAAACAACTTTAAAAGATGTGCAATCTGGGCCAGCCCTGTAGTGTAGTGGTTAAGTTCGGCACACTCTGCTTCGGCGGCCCAGGTTCACAGGTTCAGATCCCAGTCGCAGACCTATGCCACTCGTCAGCCATGCTGTGGCAGCAACCCACATCCAAAATAGAAGAAGATTGGCAGAGATGTTATCTCAGGGCTAATCTTCCTCAAGCGAAAAGAGGAAGAGCCAGAAGATTGAGGAAGATTAGCCACAGATGTTAGCTCAGGGTGACTCTTCCTCAACAACAACAACAAAAAAGGATGTGCAATTTGAGTTGAGTTTGAAGGATAAATAGGAGTCAGAGCTTGTCAGATTGAAGTAAGAAGCCTTTCAGAGAGAGTGAACAACACAACAAAGCCCAAAGGCTTGACCGCATGGGGCGTACGGGGAACACTGGGAAGTTTGGCTGAGTGGATCCTAGAGTGGGAACGTGAAGTGGGGAGGAAGAGATTGGAGGGATGGGTTGGAGTTGGAATACAGCTTAGACCTAAAGGCAGTGAGTCAGTATTGAAGATATTTAAGCCGAGAAGTTAGGAAAGTAAATGTCATTGGGGGTCTAGAGAGGATCAGAGAGGTCCCAGACAGATGGTAGGGAGACTAGTTACCAGCCCTTTCATTTATGCAGAAAAAAATCAGGAGGACCTGATTCGGGGTGGATTCAGTAGGACCTGATGGGGTTATTGAGTGAGAAATCATAATCTGGGTAACTCCCAGGTTTCTGGCTTGAGTGACTGGTGCCATTCCCAAGACAGGAGAGTCAGGAGGAAGATGAAGAGTTCATTCTTGAATATGTTTAAGGCTACTGCAGGAGACCTGTGATGCTCTCCCCCTCCCCCTCCCCCGTTTTTCCCCCTCCAAAGCCTCAGTAGATAGTTGTGTGTCATAGTTGTACATTCTTCTATTTGCTGTATGTGGGACACGGCCTCAGCATGGCCAGAGAAGTGGTGCGTCGGTGCACGCCCGGGATCTGAACCCGGGCCGCCAGCAGTGGAGCGCACGCACTTAACCGCTAAGCCATGGGGCCGGCCCTCCCCCTCCCCCTTAAAATCCTTCAGGGACCCCCCCATTCTCATCAGCCCTGGCCTGGTCCCACCACTGTCGTCTCTCAGCCCTGCTTCCTGACACACTTGCTCCAGCCCGAGCAGCTTGCAGTTCCTTGACCTTGCCAGATTGTGTTCTACTTCTTTGTGCCTCTAACTAGAACACCTTTGCCCTTCTCTTGCCTTTTGCCTGGCCACTTGCCAGACTCACTCAGAGGTGACATCTTTAAGAAGCCTCCACTGACATTCTGTACCACCACCACCAGGGAGGGTCAGTATACATCTGGCAACTGCCGGGTGCTCACCCACTTGACTGTAATGATTTGCATGCATGTCACCTCCTTCACCACTGTGCCCCCCTAGAGCAGGAGGCATCTCTGTATCCATTATGCCTGGCCCAGATGGAAGGTGGGATGTCAAGAAATGTTAAATGAACAAATCCAGATGGGGGCATCCAACAGAGGATGGGAAATTCCAAAAGACAAAATGAGAGGCACCAAAGAAAAATGTGAACAATGTGAACACCTTATGTCTACTATTGGCTCCCCCATCCTCTGCTCCAGGCACTCCATTATCTAAAGGTTAGATGCTCAATGATCTAGGCCCATGGCTGTTGGCTTGGTGATGTGTGTGGAATGGAATAGAAAGGGAGAAAGAACACAGAGTTCTAGAGAGGAGGGCCGCTGAAGGTTTGGGGACTGAATTGGAACTCCCAGCCATCAAAGATGCAAGTTTACATGAGAGGGAGTCTGGCCTAAACACCTGTTTCCCTTCCTCTTTCTAAGCTGCTGGGCTCTATTTTCTACCACCATCTGGTGGCCACATCCATAAATAACAAGCTCCCCACGAGCTAAAAGAGGTTGTGTAAGGCAGAAGTTCCGTGGATTGCCTCAGAGGGTTATGACACCCACTCCCCACCCCCCAGATATAGCATGCAAATTTGTATGTATACTGGTGAGAAGTGCCAGGAACTTTTTATCAGATTCTTGAGGCTTATAGCCTCCAAAAGGCTGAGAATCACTGCTATAAAGGATTGTTCTAGAAAAGCGTTTTTTACTTTTTTTCCCCAAATGAAATCCTATAAAGAATCATAATGTAAGAGAGAGAAAAGCAGACCTGGATCCCTACTTGCTCAGAACCTCACCCCCCAGTTTCCCAGGGCACCTACACAGAACACAGAATCCAGTTTGAAAACCATGCTTATAAAGCCAAAGGCATGGGCCGGCCCCGTGGCTTAGCGGTTAAGTGCGCGCGCTCCGCTGCTGGCGGCCGGGGTTCGATCCTGGGCGCGCACCGCTTCTCCGGCCATGCTGAGGCCGCGTCCCACGTGCAGCAACTGGAAGGATGTGCAGCTATGACCTACAACTATCTGCTGGGGCTTTGGGGGAAAAAATAAATAAATAAAATTATAAAAAAAAAAAAAAAAAAAAGCCAAAGGCTTATGGAGCTTCAGAGCCAGATGGACCCTTAAAAATCAGTGAGACCCACTAGGTCCCACCCTGGAGAGGGGGTTTGGTGAAGCTCACAGAGCATATCAGCAGCAGTACTGGAACCTAACACAGATCCCTCCACTCCCAGGTCTTGTTACTGCTCAGTCTTGCCTTATTCCCTAAAAACCTAAATTAAAAAAAAAATAAAGCTTTTTCTATCCCAAATATAGTTCCCCTACAGGAAACCATTTTTCCTATAGATATTTAGACTTCTGGAAAGAGAAATTTCTCCCTCTAAATGCCTCTCAACAAACCATAATACATGGTAGAAAATCTGTGGCTTACGTTTGAATATTTCTTTACAACTTATAACATCAACACCCATTAGCTGACTTATTTTATAATGGGAAAACCAAGAGTCAGATAAAATAACTTGCTGTTTTCTGACACTGATTTAAGGGTTCTTTCCACTGTCTCTCAGCTTTTGTATTCAAATGTATATATTCTATGGTACTTAAAACAATGAACAAGTGGGTGGTATCACTGACTTGTTGATACCTGTTTGGGGCGCGGGGGTTGGGTAAGGCCAACGCTGCTCATCACAGCCATTTGGGGTAAGGGGAGGGATAAAGGCTAACACTGATTTAACATCTATCTACTAGATATACTAGAGTCTAATTGTTGAACAACCTTCAAAGTATGTTTTTAATGACCATTTTTGCAGATGCATAAGCTGAACCTCAGAAAGAGAAAGTGCCTTGCCCAAGGTCACATAGCTAGTAAACCGAGATAAACCTCAGGCCTGCCTGCCTCCTCAGCCTGTGTTTTTTCCACACCAACTAGCTGCATGGGGCTTTGAACATGCCAGCTTGCCTCCCTGGGCGGGCAGTCCTGGCCTCCTCTGACCCCTCTGCCCCTTCTTTCCTTTCTCTCTCTTAGGAGTGCCAGCTTCTCTCAGGGCACCAGGGCCTCGTTTCTCATGAGGAGCGACACAGCCGTACAGAAACTTGCCCAGGGCAATGGACACTGTGTCAACGGGGTCAGTGGTCAAGTCCATGGCTTCTACAGCCTCCCCAAGCCAAGCCGGCACAATACAGAATTCAGAGACAGTACCTACGACCTGCCCCGGAGCCTGGCCTCCCATGGCCACACCAAGGGCAGCCTCACAGGCTCTGAGACAGATAACGAGGATGTGTACACCTTCAAGACGCCCAGCAACACCCTATGCCGGGAGTTCGGGGACCTCCTGGTGGATAATATGGACGTTCCAGGCACCCCACTCTCAGCCTACCAGATCCCTAGGACATTCACACTGGACAAGAACCACAATGCCATGGCAGTGGCCACTCCTGGGGACTCAGCCATAGCTCCCCCACCCCGGCCCCCCAAGCCAAGTCAGGCAGAAACACCTCGATGGGGCAGCCCTCAGCAGAGACCTCCAATCGGTGAAAGTGGCAGATCGGTCTCAGCCGCGGCCACCATCCCCAGGCGCAATACTCTCCCTGCAATGGACAACAGCCGACTTCACCGAGGTCAGTATAAGCGCCAGCTGAGACCCAGGGGAGAGGGAGGTAGCACAGGGGTTCTCAGTAGTTTGCTAGTCCTTGATCATCCATGCTGAGGAGACTTAACGCCCACCGAGGTGGCTGATGTTCAGGGGTTCAGGCATCTTCTACCCAGCCCGGTTACTAGTTGGTCCTCCAGCACTGGAGGCTATTAGTGGACACCCACAATAGCAAGAGTGTAGCAGACTCTGCCTGAGAGAAGTGACTGTTCTATTAAGGGAGGTAGAGCATTCTTGGTTAACCACAATACAGTGTATTATGGGTCTGGAAGTCCAAATTATAGTATTTTATTCATTTATAAGTCAAACCAAAGATTTCAAAAATAAATATAGAGGACTAGTCCAGACTGGAGCCAAACCTATGTGGAATAACAGACTATTCAAACAAAATTAGATCTACAAAATATTTTCTAAGCCACGCTTGAATCTCTTTGGTTCAAGTCTGAACTTCAATCTGAAGTATCTAAATTCTGTTATCACTTATTTTCCATTGAGAGTATTACAACCCTGCATATAACCTCCTCTATTTGAAGAAAAAGCACAATAATATTAATTCCTTTCATTTTGCATCTTGCTTTATAGTAGGCGAAGCCTGTTCTTATCTGTCCCATTGTTTAAGCCATGTAGTTACCCTAAGAGTTTGGTGGGACAGAGCCTCATTGTCTCCATTTCACGTGAGGCCCATGGTAGTTAAGAGACTCATTCATGGTTGCAAAGTGAGTCAGCAGCAGAGATGGGACTTGGACCTTGGGGTCCTGACTCCTGGCTCTGTACTCTTTGCAGTTTTTCAGTCCATCAGCTATTTTATCAATCACCCTGTGCTTTGGAACAGAAATGATACAGACATATGTAAAACATGTCTCTGCCCTTCAGAGAGCTCACGTCTAGTTGGGGAAATAAAACCAACATGTATGTATTAGTCAAGTATCATTATTACTATAGTATTTGTGTAAATGATGGCTGGGGTGAGTGGGACAGGTGGTAAGTGCTATAGGAGTTGAAAGAGAGGTGCATAAATGAGGGCGGAAGTGGTGAAGGATGGATTTAATGTTGATGCTAACGCCGGAGCTAGATCCAGAAGACTGGGAGGATTTTTGAACTGAGATGTGACATGACAGAAGTAATACCCTATCATCTGGGGTTGGGAGTAGTATCTTTTGGCGTATCAGTAAGCCCCTGAGAAGCATTGGTGAGGGTTTAGGGAAGTGTCAACACGTGGATCAACCGAGTGCACATGGATCTTCCTTCCTCTGTCGTAGCGTCTTCCTGTGAGTCCTACGAGTACCCCCAACGTGGTGGAGAGAGTGCAGGCCGGTCTGCTGAGTCCATGAGTGATGCGGTCGGCTCTTTCCTGGTGAGTGGGGCTTAGCCAGGGGTCCTTAGGCCAGCTCAGGTGTGTTAAAGTTCACACCGCATGGAAATAACAGCCCAGCCCCAAAGAATGATGGCATCTCCATTTTAGGACCCTGCCTAGCTTCTTGTCTTAGTTTAGAACCCTGGGTTGAGTTTTTGGAAAGTAAGATACGGGTATCCTAGTCTGGAAGAAATGGGTGTACTTAGGTACACTAGACTCCAAGGCTCACCAGCCCTGTGGGTAAGCAGGAGGGGTCTAGAATGCAGAGACACAGGCTCTGGGACGGTGGCTCTAAGGCAGCATCCTTATCCATAAGGTCTCACCTGGAGAAGGGCTCTACGGTGTGAGACTACTGGCAAGGGTGGTTCTCAGAGTCAGGCTCCAGGGCAGATTTATAGTTTGAGTACAGGATCCCAGGATCCCCCCTCTAGAGGGGGCTGACCACAGTTCTACAAGGTGTCAGGCCCCAGCTGAGCAGACTAGGGCCTGGCTTCAGGCCCACTGGAAAGACTGTGAAATTAGGTAATCAAGGCAGAAGCAGCTTAGTTGTATGTCTGGACAGACAGGGCAAGAGTTGATGCATTGTACAACTCTGTGACAGCCCTGATTGCAGCCTGGGGGTCACATTAAAAGTTGAACTGAGGAAGGACAACTGGCCCCAGACCTCAGCTGCCAGGGCCAAGGCTTCTAATACACTCCTTGCCCTGCTCAGGGCCTGAGATGCTGACCTGCCCATGGTGAGTCTGGACTTGAGGTGGAGGGCAGATCCTGAACCAAACCTGTGCAGTCCATGGCCTGTGCTACCCTCTGCCTAGGTCAGGCATCCAGAAAGCCTCATGGACCCAGCCACCAAGGATGTTTTATGCTAAATATTTATCACAAATCATAAGTGGGTCCTAAAGGATCGTGGAAGCTAGAAGGGACCCACAGACCTCATTTCTCCCTGTCTCCCACTTGGCTTTCTTATTTGGTTTTCCCAGGGTCTGCCTTATAGCTTCAGAGCGCAGCTAAGTCAGTCATGACTCTTCTTGCCTTGTATACAAATTCTCACCCCTTTCTTGTTTCTTCTTGCCAGTGACAGCTGTATTTCTTTCACTCTCCTTCCTAGCCAGGGAAAACAATTGTGAGCCGATCAGATAGCACCAACTCTGAAGACAACTACGTGCCCATGAATCCAGGTTCCTCCACCCTGCTGGCCATGGAGCGAGCAGGTGATAATGCTCAGAGTGTCTACATCCCCATGAGCCCAGGGCCCCATCACTTTGACCCGCTTGGCTACCCCTCCACAGCCCTTCCTATGCACCGAGGCCCCAGCCGAGGGAGTGAGATCCAGCCACCCCCTGTCAACCGCAACCTCAAACCTGACCGGAAAGGTAAGTCCACTTTCCCCTGTCCCATCTCTGGACAAGGTCCAGGGACTATTTGCATTCGTTTAGGGATCAGGTGGATCCTGAACTGTTCTTGCAAGGAAGTGGTGGCCTCTGGGGCCTAAACCACCCCAAACTCACACACACACATACACAGACACTCCAAATTCATCCCAGTGATCTGGCACCCTACGGACTGGCTGCTGGAGTAGCCTTGAGGGGCATAAGCAGTGCACGAATCAGAAGGACAGGACAGATTCGAGTTCCAGCTCTGCCACCTGCCAACATGTGATTGTAGACAAATCACTCTATGCCTCTGAGCCTTGTTTCTTCATCTGTGAAATAGGAAATGTCACACTCACCTCCCAGAGGCAGTGAGGGCATAGATAATATATCTAAAAGTGCTCTGTAATGTATAAAATGCTATTCAAGGGTGAGAGATTAGTATTAGATCTGGGGCTGGGCAGGGTAGAACTGACAAGGTGGTCTATTAACAGATGCACTGTGCTGTAATAGAAAGGCTTGCGCTTTCAAACCAGGTAGACGTGGGTGGAATCCTTATCCAGTACTTCCTAGGTGTGTGACTTCAGGTAAATCGTTTAAATTCTCTGAGGCTGTTTTCTTGTGTGAGATGGGGCTAGTCACTCCTGCCCCAGGTTTGCTCAGAAGGAAAGCATGGAGGGCGTTGACTCTGGTGCACAGCAGGTGTTGAGTACAGTTAGATCTGTGCCCACTGCATGGAGACCGGAGGAAGTGCTGCAGTTCAGGTTCCAGGTCTGCTCTACCTCACTGCTGGCCTTGGGTCAGTGGCACGGGTTCAAAGGAGAAGTAGAGTAGCCGGGCAGAGATGAGCCCCCCTTGTTCTGGCCAGCAGGGAATTAAAATCCTAGTGTTGGGATTGAAGCTTTCAGGGCCCGGTGGCGTTCACCTTCCTCCGCTGTAGGGCCACAACCCTGGTCCAGGAGCAGCAGGGAATAGTCATGGTGGCCTTCTCCACTTCAAGTATCATCTCTTGTTTTGATATACAGTCACAAATCTGGGGAGAACAATCTGTTGTCAGACACTGGGTCCCCATTTTGGATTCTGAAAATATGATTGCCATAGATACAGTGCAAAGAATATATAATTTGGAATCTGAAGACATGCCTTCAAGGCCTATCAACATGGGCAAAGATTATATAACCTTGCTGAGCCTCAGTTTCCCTATGTAAAACTGGGATGAATATGAAGGCATTTATAAATAGACTTGTGTGTTGTATATAAGTGTGTGTATGTGTGGCATTATCATTGGCTGATTACTTGACTTACTGTTCCTGCTCCAGCAAAACCAACACCACTTGACCTAAGAAACAACACCGTCATCGATGAGCTCCCCTTCAAATCACCTGTCACCAAGTCTTGGTCTCGGGCCATGTGAGTGTCTGTTTGTGGAAGCGGGAGCTTAGAACAGGGCCTTTAGGGTTGGTGAGTGGAATGGTCACGGCCTGTGGGGCAGGAAAGCTGCATCCCGATGCTAATGCTGTAGCTGAGCACATCTCTTAATCTCTTGGGGCTTGATTTCCTCATCTGTAAAGGGGGAATAATTGTACCTGCCCTGGATCAGATCTTAATCTGATAATGGAGTGTGAAGCTCTGAGGGTGGATGTCTGGGTGTGTGAGGGTCAGGGACCCAGCTGGAGGCTGAGAACTTCCTCAGGGCTTACTCTTTGTCTCTCCTCGACAGCCACACCTTCAACTCTAGCTCCTCCCAGTACTGCCGCCCCATCTCCACACAGAGCATCACCAGCACGGACTCGGGAGACAGCGAAGAGAACTACGTCCCTATGGTGAGTACCCTAAGGTGACTCCCATCTGAGGCCCCTGGGACGCACATCTCAGTTCCCCACTTCCCAGCTCGGCTAACTCACCTCAGCCCAGGGGCTCCCACGTTATTTATGGTTTAGTTTGCTGCTGGGGTCATCATCAGAGGCAGGGAAGACATGGCTCCTGCCCTCCAGGAGGGCGCGGTCTTAAGGGGCAAAGAAGGCCTGTCTCTCTCATGACTGTGACACAGGTGGTGTAGTCAGTGCCCTTGGAGAGGCAGTGCTGCAGGGACTCCCCCACAGGGCAGGCAATCATACCAGGCTGGAGGTGCTGAGGTGGAGGTGGCCGTGCAGAGGTGGGACATGGAGGAGAACAATAATCGTTAACAATGGCTGAAGGCAGGGTGAGGTTGAACTGGAGCCAGATCATGAAAGACGACAAATGCCGTCTTGGGAAGTCTGGACTTTTCCTGTGGGCAGGAGGGAGCCCCAGAAGGTCTAGCGGGCCAACTGATTAGACAGGTGTTTCAGAATAGTGATTGGGAGCCTGTAGACAAGGACTAGAGCACTCTTCAGAGTTAACATTCTTCTCTGTCCTCTTAAAATCTTTGAAAAGTAAAAGATCTCTTCATTTCCTTATCCTGTTGTTCCCATGACCATGGGCCAGTATGTGAGTGTAAGCGTTACTGAGTATCTCCTCAGTGGTGGGGAAACACACATGTGCATGACTCACTGTGGTGAAGGCCATAATAGAGCCATGAACGCAGGCAGCGCGTGATAAGTTTCTTCCCCGAGATTTTCACTGAAAAGAGAGTAGCTGCCCAGCACCTGGTGCTCCATGAATAATGAAAGAATGAACCAACTAACCAATAACGCAGCGAAAAAACAGGACACAGGACTATTGCCTTTCTCATTCAGTATAAGACTTCAGGAAAATCCTAGACAAGTTGTCTGTGGTCCCTGGATGGAGACAGGACCCCAGAGCCTGTCACTGGAAGAGCTGCTCAAGGAACTGGGGCTTTGTGCAGCCTGGGGAGGAGGCGGCTCAGTTCAGATCTCTGAGGTGCTGGGGCTGGAAGGAGCAGGCTGCTTCAGTGTGACCTCTTCTCTCTAGGCCACGGGTGGGAGTTTCAGAGAAGCAGATTTGGTGCAACAGAAGAAGACTTGCAAACATCCAGTGCATAAAGGAAATGTGCTCCCCTCTTAGGGCCAGCAAGTGAAGGGTGTAGATGAGCTTTGGCCTGATGCCTTAGAAGGGAGGCAGCGTGGTACAGCGGGATGAGCATAGGTTTGGGAGTCAGAAAACAGACCTGGTTCTCATCCTTGCTCACCAGCTGTACAACTGTAGGCAAGTCACTTGACTTCTCTGAGCCACAGTTTTATCTTTGTTTTAAAAAATAAGAATAGTGATAATACCCCATGTCACAGGATTGTTGTGATGGTTTAAGTGAGAACATGAAAAGTCCCTAGCACAGCGCGTGACTCACAGCAGCCCTCAGTGAGCTTGTAGCTCTAACTCCCAGAGGTGTGTTTTTCCAGGTTAGTCTGTTTCCTAAACTTACTAAGTTTTTTCCTTCTTTGTGATAGCAAAACCCAGTGTCTGCATCTCCCATTCCCAGTGGCACCAACAGCCCAGCCCCTAAGAAGAGCACCGGCAGCGTCGATTATCTGGCCCTGGACTTTCAGCCGAGCTCCCCAAGCCCCCACCGCAAGGTGCCTGGGGTGGGGGGTGTCAGAGCTCTCAGGGCCCTAGGGGAGGGATCTCGGAAGCCAGGGGCCTGCAACACTGAACAGCAGCACTCGGCCTCTCATGACTCGGACACGCTTTAGTCTGGGTCTTAAGAGGGCTCATTCCTCTCAGCGCACAGGCACCCTCGATCCGTAGGACCTCTTCAGCCAGTCCACCCCCCTTGTTGTGCAGATGGGAAATGAATGCGTGATCTGCTGAAGGTCACCAAGTGAATCAGTGACAGATCCAAGACTCGGGGATCCTGTGTCCTGGTCCTGAGCTCTTCTTTGAGGAGCACTCACTGTCTGGCTTGGTCCCAGAGCCCTGCCATTGGCACGCTGGCCTTCCGAAGGGACTTCCAGGCCTAGGAAAGCCCTCTGTGGGAAGTACACTTAGCTGCCCAGTCCAGACAGCAGAGTGGGGATCCACCTCAGCGGAGTTCCCCCTCACAGGATGGCTGTGAGTGCTCACCGAGGGCCACACACAAAGCCCTCTGGCTGGTGCTTGTTGGCACCCAGCAAATTCCTTCCCCTGGATAAGTGGCCACAGGGAGGTGGATGGAGGCAGAGATGAAGGCCTGGACCCATCCACCAGGCCAAGGAAGGGCCTGGGTCCTCCTAGGAGCTGGGAAATCAGGAGGGCTGGCGGGGGCTTGTAGCATCGAACAGGAGAGATGATGCAGTTTGGAGTTCAGGCTCTAAAGGCCACTTTCAGAAAAAGAAGACAGGCTCGTGAGGCTGGTCAAAGCAGCAGGCAGAGGTCCACCTCCACTCCCCTTGAGACAGCTCAGGCAGAGCCCACCCGCCTGCTCCCCACCTCACTGACAACTCACAGCTCCTTCCCCTTCCCACTCTGTCCCTCAGCCATCCACATCATCTGTCACTTCCGATGAGAAGGTGGACTACGTTCAAGTGGACAAGGAGAAGACCCAGGCCCTGCAGAACACCATGCAGGAGTGGACAGATGTGCGGCAGTCCTCGGAGCCTTCCAAGGGCGCTAAGCTGTGACTCCGGGGCCACCAAGCCTGGGGAGGGGCCAGGAGGCAGCATCTCCAGAGCTGGCTCCTCCTTGTCTGTCTCTCTTTCTCCTCTCCCATTGCCTCCTCCCACCCCTCCCCCTCCACTCTGCCACTCTGGCCTTCAAAGCACTTGACATCAGGGACCCTGAACCCTTCCCCTGGGAGGTGAGGGCCTGATCGAGGCACTTCCTCTGCCCACTCGGGGCCCACCTTTGATTTTTATCAGCAATGGCCATGCCTCTACCCACCTTAGTTAGAGCTATTGCCAAAAAGCATCCTTCAGCCTCTTCCTGCCCTTTAGACCTGAATATCTACCAGATGTTTGGAGGGAGGGGCTGGGGCTCTGAGCCAGATTCTACACCTCACATTCGGTCACAGCCCTCAGCCTTCTTCCCTCCCGCTACTGGGCTACCTCTCCTTCAGTCTCGGAAGAAGCCAAGTTGCCTCGCTCACCCAGGGAGCCAAGGACCAGCAGACCAAAGTGGACATGGACTTCTTCATCCCTGTCTGTCTGGGCAGGGGAGAGGCAAGGCCACCAAAAGATGGAGGAGTCGAGAAGGAAGGTTAGAGGTGGTCTTGAGGGACAAAGGAATTAGGTTGCAGATGCAGAAGGGCAGCTGATACCTGTAGGGTCCCCCACTTTCAGGCCAAGTGGCAGTGCAGCTGTTGCCAGGGTGGAAGAGGCAGAAGGATGAGGACAAAAGGAAGGGAAAACTGAGGATGGTGGGTGACCAAGATCAAGAAGGTGCAGGGCTCAGAGCCCAGGAGATGGGGTGACAAGGACACTGCAGGGTTGGGCCCCCAGAACTGTGGAGCTGCAGGCCCACTGCTGCTGTGACAGCATGCAGTCTTCCTCAAGTCTCCGCCCACCTGAGAGAGCCACACTGGAGAGGGCTGGACCGTGCTGGGCAATGCAGCGTGCAGTGTGGGAGTGCCAGCATGGTCAGGGGAGGCTGGCGGGAAAGCAATGCAGGGTGCAGGACGTGGGAGGGAGGGAGCATGGGGTGGACTGGAGGTGATGCAGGGACTGAGGGCAACCCTGGGACACGAATGGGCTGGGCAGAGGCCCAGGGCAATGCACGGATACTGCAGAGGGGATGGTTCAGCAACGGAGTTTCTGCAAGGTGGGGAGGCGCAGAGGTAACTGATGGGATGAGAGGCAGGGGTGAAGGCTGTGGGGGAACAGTGTAGCAAGCGGGGAAATACATCCAAAGAGCCTGGTGGAGGTCCCAAGGCAGTGCCATGGGGACGCAGGGTGGAGCAGAAAGTGAAGGAGTGGCATGTCGTGTCGGGAGCGTGGTGTGCATGGTGGCATGACACAAGGGCAGTTCTCAGGACTGACGGGTCACAAGTAAAGCAGTGCAAGGGAGAGAGCAGGGCAGAACGGAGCCTAGAGGATGACATGTGAGAAAGGCTGGCAGCTTGTGCGGTTCAGCTGGGGTTTGTGCCCGGTACCAGGCCCAGAGTGTTTTCTTGGCTCTTCTCACCCTCTGTTGCTCCCTTGCATCCCAGCTGCCACATTGGACTCAAACCTGGCTACAGGGACAGGAGAGGCCAGGCCTCTCCTCCTGTGGTCTGAAAGGCTATCAGATCAGCATCGCCCTCTGCCCAACCCTGCCAGGGACAGAGGTAGGGTGTCATCCTAGACTCTCTGTCCTAAACCAAGGAGGGAGAATGTGAATGTTTTACGTTGCAAGGTCTTGGCCAAAGGGTTTCAGAGGCAACTGGGCAGACCAGATGTTTCATCCTACCCTGGGGTGAATAGATTTGCTTCCTCAAAAAAAGTGACTTTCCACCATGTTTAATGGAGGTGTCTACTGCTCACCTTTCAGCTCCTGTGAGCGCACGTGCATGCACACACAGAAGCGCACACCTCGCCAGCCCAACGGCCTGACCATTCTCCAAGAAGTCCCATCCTGGGAGAAATTATTTTCTCAACAGTAGCCCCTCTCTTCCTAGTATTAGTTCTACTCAACTCAACAAGCATTTATTAATGGCTGCTGTGGCCAGGCTCTGTCTAGGCTAGGCACTGAGGACGCAGGAATGAATCAGACTTTGTCCCTGCACTTGAGGTCACAGTCGATGAGAAAAAACACAAGACACTGGTAATGGCCTTGAGAAAGACATACTTAAAATGCTGATGGCGTGCAGAGGAAGCAAGGCTACTTCTCCAGGAGATGCCGGGGGCAGGGATGGAGAGAGGATACAGATCAGGGAAGGTGGTTTCTAGGAAAAGGGGGTACCTGAGATGGGCCTTAGAGGAAGATGGGTCAGATGTTTACAGGAAAGGAGGGCAAGGCTGAGGTGCAGCGGAGGAAGGAGAGACTTGGAAAGCCTTGTGCTTTGGGAACAAAAGACCTGTGAGAGTATGGGTCCAGCCACTTAGAAGCAATGGGGCCATGCCTTGGTGTTCCCACAGGCGAGACAGTAATGGTGGCAGTGGCCTACATTGGGCAGGGTTTGCTGGTTCAGTCTACGTACCCCTGACTGTGTCCCTTAATTTAAGGCCTTCTATGAAGGGTCTCACGTGGCAGAGCTTTTCGTGGTCCCAGCCCCAGCAGCCTCCCCTGTTGGCCCCAGGGTGCCCCAATAATGTCAGCATTTTGTGTGTGCGCCATGATGTGAATGAAACCGGTTGGAGTCTTCAGAGACTGAGGTATCCAAATCTAATCTCCAAGGCGGCTTCCTTCCAGCTCTTGGTTCCTGTAACTTCCAAACCCTTAGGTGGAGGCGAGAGTAGAGGTGAAAGGAAGTACAAGAAAAAAGGAAACTGGCCTGTTGAATGTGGAGACTGTGGCTCACAAGCCCCAAACTACCAGGGGTTTAGGACACACCTGTCAACTCAGTTTACAAAACTGGTCCTTTGGCTCCTCAGTGGGTCAACGTCCACCTCTCCTGATAGCCTGGCTAGGACTGAGACCCCAGAATGGGGATGCCTTCTCAGCCAGCCCAGCTCACACCAGGACTCGTCCTACCTGGGGCTCCCTAAAGAAGGAGCCATCCTCCTCCTATTCCAGCTCCACCTGTAAAGTAGAGCAGGAACAATGAGAAAAGGAGTAAGTGCTACAGGGAGATGATGTCTCCTTTGGACCTTAGTTTGCCCATCTGTGAAATGGGTGGTTAGATTAGACAGTCCCTGAGGCCCCTTCTGTGGCTGATGGCAGCACCCAGAGCATTAGCCAATTCACCCAGTCCCCTCCCTAGACTGATTTTGGTAACTTCTACATTTGAAACCCTTCAAATATGCCCCATTCCTAGGACAGAAGCACAACCATTCTAAGTGATTGGAGGATGGGCTCAACTCCAGTCTGCCCTTTGGCCCCTTACCTGCCATGGGGCTAAGGCCTCAGCACCAAGCCATGGGCAACCAGCCCTCCCCAAACCCATACCCCTTTGACAGAGCTCTCTAAGAACAGGACGGGAGAGAAATTAGCACACACTTCCCCTCTGGGCCTTCATCTGCAAAATGTGGGGGAAGTGAGGCTGACCAGGTGAGCTCAAAAGCCCTCTCCTACGGGGGGCCGTCATTCTGGGACTCACCAAGCTCTTGGGGCCTGGGCCACGGGTAGGCTGCCTGCTGAGGGGTCCCACTGGAGATTCAGGCTGTCATGTCATATTTGGTGGTGTGTGTTTTTGTGTGTTTGTTGGTTACATGTGTCTTGAAATTTAGAATCATTTCGCACAGAACTGTCGCTATTTGTCGGGAAGTAAAACTGGGCTAGGAGAAGCCCAGTCTTAGGTTCTTGCCCTGTTACCATTTAAAATTGACATTTAATTTTTCAAATCTCTGTTGGTGCCTAATCACTTAAGTTATTAATTTATTCTGTTTTCTTTTAAAAAAAGATTTGTAACACGTATTTATCCTGTGAGTAGGTCTGGGGTGGGGTGGGAACATGTTGAAGTGGGTCCTGTTTTTGCTGTGGTGACACATGGTACAGGCCTGGAGCTTACAGGTCCCTTTTTACTGTGGTGTTGGAGCAGGACAATAATAAAGTCCATTAGAAGAACCAGAGAAGGCTGTTGGAGTCTGCCTCATCTGAAGAAGCTAGGGGAGGGAATCTACACGCGTGAATCCCAGCCTGGGGGCTGTCCATGTGGAGGCTTAAACACGTTCTCGACGAGAAAATCCTCTCTCTCACAGTCCCAGGCAAGGCTATGTGCCGGTCTGCTCCACTTCCATTTTAATAGGAAATAACTGGGTACTTTTGGCTGGGAACAAAAGTGAATTCTCCTTGCCTTGGAATCTGTAGTCCACATGGGTAAAATGGGCATTGTAGTAACGTGTCAGCTCATCTTTCTCAGAAGGTGTACTGGACTGGGACTGTAGAGCATGACTCAGTCCCCGACAGACTATCAGCCCACTTTAGCTGGTTCCTACGGTCTGCCATCTCAAGGGTCTGTGACATCTGGGCCAAAACTCAACTCCTGCACCTTCAGCACAGGCAGACAGCCCCTGGCTTTGCTGCCACCTCCCCACCTCCTTTGTTCTCCCAAAGGGGCCCCTGTGTGCCTATCCGGCACCAAGAATGGGATGACACCTGAGGCACGCCTCCAGCCTTCTACCTGGTCTGTACCCCCAGGTTCTCAGAATGTGGTATCAGCAGTGGCTAATTCCGGGCAGTCTGGAGTTCCTGGGGTCTGCAAAGCCCCCAGCTACTGGGACTCCAGCCCTACCTGATTGATAGGTGAGTCAAGTCCCCCAGCCTATGTGCCTGCCCCTCCAGAGGCGAAGGACTCCCCTGCTTCTCAGGATAATGAACCCCCTCTTCCTTCTCTCTGTTCGTGCCTGCGTCTGGGTATGTCCCCTCCACCGGTCCCGGCTCTGCCCTCCGGGTCCTCCCAGTCCTCACCTGTAACTCACACAGCACGTCAGTGTGGGGGGCTTTCACCGCCAGTGGTGTGTTGCACAAGTCAATGGGGCAGGGAGTGTACCCTCCTTCCTGCCCAGACCCAGCAAGAAACCAAGGGTAAAGTGGATATCACAGCCACTGAGGCAGGAAGAATGACATCTTAAAGGCTTCAGAGAACCTATTTTATTCCTGTTTTGAGACCCCGTGTCTCTTCTCTCCATTTAGAAGGGGTACAGCAGTGTCAGGGCACAATGAGGTCACTATCTGCTCCTCACCAGACCACCTCCGCCAGCCCCCAGGCTGTGCTAATGGCCAGCTTTCGGGACGGACAACAGCTTTAGGAGAAACACAAACATATTTGCAGTAAAATAAGGACTATCTTCACCAGAAAGGGGATGCAAATGGTGGCATCTCAGGCACTGAGGCAGGCGAGGGGAGAGGGGGTCAGGGGCCTCCCACTGTGAGGGGAGCTGCCCTGCCCTCTAGCGGGGAAACAGTCTCTGATCCTGTGCCAGGCTGCTTCCCACCTACAATCCTCTCAAAAAAACTACAAACGTTGCAGGCACCCACATACGTCGCCTCTGAAACCCCCTCAGAGAAACAAGAAGGCAGCCAGAGGTGTGACACACTGCCTCCTCCTTTGTGCAAGGACTTGGAGCCTGCTCTTTTTACAGTACAGAGCAACAGGATTGTCTGCAAGGAGCCAGAAGGGAAATGCTACTTGATGGCAAAACACTAGAGCTGTGACGTTCAGCTCTGTTAGGGAGCCTGCTGGGAGGATGGAGGGAGACAAGTCCCAGAGTGGTCCATCTAAGCTGCTTCAAGTTGACCAGGACACTTGGGTGTAAAATCTTAATGGGGCTCATCCCAGTGTCAGGGCCAGAGGCCCAGTTTAAGGGGCTTGGGTCTCACCTCTATATCTGAATCTCCGTGTACCCTTCAGGCTGAGGAGCGGCATCCCAGAAGCTCCCTCTCCATCTTTCTTGACCTTGAAAGGGCCTGCCTTCAGGACTGGACTGGCCTCCACAACCTCCCTCAAACCCCACCTGGCAGAGCACCTCTGCCTAGGACCTGGGCCCCCACCCTGCTCCCAGAAGGAAGGGGTCAAGGCCTCCCCTGAGGTTGCTGTGGTGCCCACACAGGTAGGAGCAGGCTGAGGGAGGATTCACATTAGAAGACCAGTCTGTGGAAGTCACCACCATTGCCACCTGCAGGGTTGCAGCCCCCCGGAGAGCCTTCGTCCTCATCCTTGTCTTCATCAAAGCCCCTCCCCCAGCGCGGAGATGAGGGGAGTGCAGAGATGTAGGCTGCCCTGCTCCGTGCCTCCTTCTCCTGCTCCTGGGAACACAGATGGGGATGGGGCAGGAAGCTTAAAATTCAGCTCTAAAGCTGGAGTCCTCTCTTTACTCCCTCCCCCAACGCCATCCACCACAGCACTTCTGAATGTCCCCTTGGGTCCCCAGGGCGAGGCACAGAGGAGCCACTTTAGCTTCTGACCTAAAGGCATTCCAACTCAGTGGGAGGAACCCATCCTTCCATCCTATATCCAGGCTTCAAAATCATTCCTCCTCCTCCCCCTAATAAAAAAAACTCCCAGCCCCTTAGAGGAAAGGAACTCATTCATATGAATAGCTGACAAGGGCCTGATGTGGCACCAGGAAGCAGGAGGTCGAGGGACTTCAAGGGTCACGTTACAGCACACAGGGACCTCTCTGCAGGCTTCCTGACACAGCTTTCCAGCTCACTCAAGGCACCAGGAACAGATTCTGCCAGTGAGAAAGCTCTCCTTCCTGCTGAACTGAGGCTGGCCGCACGGGGACTCCTCACCACTGGCCCCGCCTCCGCCTGGACAGCCAGGCAGCAATGCAGAAGCAGGCCGTGTCCCCACCCCACATAAAACACCAACACCATGTGCTGCTGTCCACACGTCCTGTGTGGCTACTTCGGTGGTTTGTGGCTAGTACCCTCCCATTGCTCAGAGCCCTTGCTGTCCCAGTTGACTCGCAAGAGTGGAATTGAAGGCACAGTGACAGGAGGTTCACTGGATAGGGCAGTCCCCCAGAGCCCCCCAGATGCCCCCTCTACCCGCTCCTACTTGACTGTTCACTCGTAGAACCCAATGGTGCTCCTTCAGCACGCTTAAGAAAACTTAATAAATACCTGATAATTATTTAATGTCTGTTCCTCTGAAGTAAGGGGTTATGTCTATCTGGGCCACCAATAAAGTGATAAATAAATGGATAAAAGAAAAAAGGAAGACACTCAGAGAGAGAACCAATAACTTATCTAAGCCTGTGGTTGTGTTGGGAAGCCCTCCACCCAGGAGATGAGATCAAAGGTCCCAATGGGTCTGCTCACCTGCAGGTAAAGGATGTTGTCTTTGGAAATGGCTTCCATCAAGTCTTTGTGGAGGGTGGGCTCTGTCCGGACTCTGGGAGAGCCTGGCACAGCCTCAGGCCCCTCCCCGGGCCGCTGCCGGTAAAAGAGCACGTAAGCCGTGTCCTTGGGGAAGAAGGAAGTGACGTTGCTGACAGACTCGAAGGAGGAGAAGGACACCCGAGTGTCGTTGAACAGATACCACTGGTTCTCGGGCTCGGGCCTATCGGCAGTGCCCAGAGAAGGGACTGGGCGGGCAGCGCCCTCACGGGCATAGCAGTAGTAGTGACCGCTCTCCGAGGACACTCCGGAGTGCACCACGACGCTGCAGAGGTCGTAGGCCTGACCGCGGCCCCCCGCCAGTGGCAGGCGGAGCAGCAGGGGTATGGAGACGTCGTCCAGGATCTTGCGGCGCCGCATGGTACGCAGGTCGAAGGAGAAGCGCAGCAGAGTCAGGATGAGGTAGCGCGGCCCCTGGCCCAGCTCCACCACCTTTTCGGCGTCCTGCAGTGAGGCACACGACTCACAGTAGTAGCGGTTCTCTGCTGTCAGCCTCTCAGGGGACAGGAAGTAGTTGACCAGGTCCAGGACGGAGCGGGAGCCCTCCCCAGGGGATGCGGCAGCAGCCCTGTGGGTCCCTGGTCCCAGGCTGTCCTCTTCCTTCTCCACCTTCTCGGCCTCCCCCTCCACCTTCTCGGCCTCCTTCTCCACCTCTTGCTCTTTCTCTTTCTCCTTCTCCTCCTCCGGTCTCTCCTCCTTCTCCTCTGCTCTCTTCTCCTCCTCCTCTACTCTCTCCTCCTCTGCTCTCTCCTCCTTCCCTGCTCTCTCCTCCTTCCCTGCTCTCTCCTCCTTCCCTGCTCTCTCCTTCCCTGCTCTCTCCTCCTTCCCTGCTCTCTCCTCCTCCTCCTCTGCTCTTTCCTCCTTCTCCTCTGCTCTCTCCTCCTTCCCTGCTCTCTCCTCCATCTCTGCTCTCTCCTCCTTCCCTGCTCTCTCCTCCTCCTCCTCTGCTCTTTCCTCCTTCTCCTCTGCTCTCCCCTCCTCCTCCTCTGCTCTCCCCTCCTCCTCCTCTGCTCTTTCCTCCTTCTCCTCTGCTCTCTCCTCCTTCTCCACCTTCTCCTGACTGCTCTGCCCCTGGGGTCCCTGGGGGCCCAGGCCTTCAATGTCCAGGACGGTGGGGGGGGCGTCCCCTGTGATGCAGTGTTTCCTCTGCCTCGGAGGACCCGCCCTGCTTGGAACCTGGGCTCGGGATGGCAGTGGGGGGTCCCGGGCTCCGAAGTCCTCTGCAGGGAACATCACTGAGCCCAGGCGGCGGCGGCGACAGCGCTCAGGGGGTGGGAAGGCAAGAGAGAGGTCCGTGAAGGCCTCCTCCCTGGAGGAGACATTGAGGCAGCGGAGACAGCATATCCGAGTCACGATCTTGCCTCCAAACATCTTCTCCACAGAGGTTGAACTTGGGCTAGGAGGCTCCTCGGGCGGGGAGGGTGAGCTGGACTGCATGAGCTTCTGGTAGATCCTTGTCCCCGTTTTCTCCTCTTCATGCAGCCTGCAGCAGGGAGCACAGGGTCTTCATACATACACACGGATCCACCAGGGCACTGGCCTGATTCGTGCCATCTACCTTACTCAGCTGGCCAGGCATTTAGACACGTACACATGCAGGAGTATGCAAGAGGGAGGATATGTGCAAAATGGCATCCGTGCACATGCACTCACAAGCCAGGCACACACGCTACTAACCTGCATACAGGCACACAAACCTGCTACATAAAGACGTGCCACGTCTATGTGCACATGCCCCCAGAGCTGTGACAAAGACAGACACACACTCAGGCAAGCACAGCACAGTGTATACGCACACACTTACCCCTCCCAGGTCACAGTTCAGGTCAGCATCTCCCAAACTGCCCTCACACTCAGCCACGGCCCCCACACCCATGGCACACATCTTCTCTGAGCCTTCCACAAGTGCAGTGCAGTGCCCCCATTTCCAGGAAGAGGCAACACCGCTCAGAGGGGTGGGGCTTTCCCCCAGCCTGCAGCCCCCATGCAGAGCCAGACCTGGCCCCTCTTACCGATCCAGCAGGTATTTCAGGTACTCTGAGCAGTCCTGTTGCGTGCCGGGGCTGAACCAGGGTGTCCAGGATGCAGAGAGGAAGTTCTCAGGAGAAATGGCAGGCCGCTAGGACAAGACAGGTGGATGGCAGGGTCAGGAGCAGAAGGCCACTCACCAACCAGCTCTGAGGGTCTACCTGGGGACTCTGCCCCAAACTTGCTGGCCTCCTCACTGAAGTCCTCGCCCTTCCAATGTCCCTGACCCATCCCACCCCACCACGTCCACACAGCCTATGAGCCAGGCACTGGAATCCATGCAGATGAACCATCTGCTAGGAATTTGCCCTTCCCTGACACAACTCATACTTTCCAGGCCTTTGCTCACTGCCATTCCCTCTGCCTAAAATACTCTTCTCCTCGTCAAAAGCTTAGCTATAGCGTTCAGGTCCCAGATGCATAAGTGTCACCTGTTCCATGTCTTCCCAATGGCTCGCTCCCCCATCATAATCAACCTCTCCCTCCCTTGCACGCCCACAACATGCTGCATTTCCCTCTGTTCAAGTCCCTCTATTGAAGCACTACAATTGTTATCTGCAGGCCCATCTTCCCCACCAGACTGTGAGCTCCATGAGGGCAGGGACCATGGCTTACTCATCTCCGTGCCCCAACACAGGCCATACATAATGCTTGGCCAAGGGCTCTAGGGTCCATGAGGGCAGAGACAGTGAACAAAACAAATACAGCCTTCAGGGTGCCTGGCAATGTGAGTGCTCAAAAATGGCAGCAGATGAACAAAGCAACACCTAGTGCAATGCACTGAATCACTGATGGGAAAGATTTGGGCAGCACATCACAGAAGGGGCTCAAGGAGGCACTCCCTCTCCTGCCCAGTAGGGGCACTGAATTGGCCCCATGGGCTCTGGCCATGAACCCATTCCACCCTGGACTGGGGCTCAACAGCCAGATGCAGGCAGGTCCTGGGGAAGAGGAAAGTGCCAGACCGGAGCCTCCTCTCCACCACCACCCCGAGTCCCCCTGCACTCACCTGGCTATGCTCCAGGAAGGCAAAGAGCCACTGCAGCTTGGTCATCAAGGGCTGTGAGTTGTTCTCAGTCAAACGGAGCACACAGTGTCTGAAGCTTCAAAACAAAGCAGAACACACAAGGTAGGCCAAGGGCACCAAGGAGCCTCTGCTTGCTCATATCGCAGGCAACCCTGGGCCTCCAGGCTAAAGGCAGAACTGACACTGGTGGCTCAAGTCTGGGCCAGCAGCCGGGGAGGAGGAGCACCTAAACAACTCAGCTTGGACAACAAGGTGACCCCTGCAGTCCCTTCTGGCCCTGACAGCTAGGACTCCAAGATTCCAAGATCCAAATGTCCTAAGGTCCTATGGTCTCAGAATTCTAAGGCTAGAACTCACTGCCATGCTCCACAGTCCGTGCAAATACCATCACCAACCACTCCAGCCACTCACATACTTCTCCCTGCTTCCCCGGGAACTGGCGAACGTTCAGATCCATCCAGAGCAGTAGGCCTTGCACCAACCTCAGCCCTCCAAGTCCACTCTTACAGCCCCTCCCCAGGGCCCCTGCCATTGGCCCTAGGATCACCCCCAGGGTTCCTCTGGCCTTCAAATGAGGGAGGCAGGGGCCAATGTGAGGAATATACTGAAAGAAGAAGACACTTCTGGGGTAGACTGCCCCCCAGGGATGGGGTCTGATCCTCTGGGAGACAGGAAAAAGCCCCTCCTGACACCCACATTCCCTGGAACAATCCGATTCCCAGGCCCCAGCTTAGCTCCAGTTCTGACAAGAAGCTCTGGGAACACAGGTCAGGTGTCTCTCCAAACTGAGCCCACTGTGCAAAACAGCATTATGAAGTGTGGTCCACTGAGCAGTCTGCAACAAGATAAGTTCAGAAACTGAGAGCATTTAGAAACCTGTATAATGATCAGACGTTGCTACGACCACACAAGGACGTGATCATTTTTCTGCTAAGTCATTTTTTGTATTTTACAAAAGTAATGGTCTGCAGCAGACTGTAAATTAGAAAACTAAAATAAAACTAGTCCTTCACCAGGCAGTTAAGCATGAGCAGCAGTACCTTAGGAAATCCTAGATCAGCTCCAACCTCCTCCTACTGGACCCAAAGCTCAGAGAGAAGAAACCAACTTGAGGTCCTACCGTAAGCCAGCAGCAAAGCTTACTTTCACTGTGACTCTCAGAAAAGATGTCTAAGTATGGTAATGATGAAAGAATAGTTGAAAAATCAGCAGAACAGAATAGAGAGCACAGAAATAGACCTCCATAAATATAGTCAACTGATCTTTGACAAAGGAGCAAAGGCAATAATACAATGGAGCAAAGACAGTCTCGTCAACAAGTAGTGCTGGGACAACTGGACATCCACATTCAAAAAAAATCAATCTAGGCACAAACCTTACACCCATCACAAAAATTAACTCAAAGTGGATCACAGACATAAATGTAAAATGCAAAACTATAAAACTCTTAGAACATAACACAGGAGAAAATCTAGATGACCTTGGGTACGGTGATGCCTTTTTAGATACAACATCAAAGACATGATCCATGAAGGAAATAATTGATAAGATGGATTTCATTAAAATTAAAAACTTCTGCTCTGTGAAAGACAATATCAAAAGAATTAGAAGACAAGTCAGAGACTAGGAGAAAATATTTGCAAAAGACACATCTGATAAAGAAGGACTGTTATCCAAAATATACAAAGAACTCTTAAAACTCAACAAGAAAACAAACAACCCAATTAATAGGACAAACATCTTAACAGACATCTCACCAAAGACATACTGGTAGAACATCAGCATGTGAAAAGACACTCCACATCACATGTCATCAGGAAATGCAAATTAAAACAACAACGAGATACCACTGCACACCTATCAGAATGGCCAAAATCTGGAACACCGACAACACCAAATGCTGGCGAGGATGTGAAGCAATAGGAACTCTCATTCATTGCTGGTGGGAATGCAGAAGGCACAGCCACTCTGAAAGACAGTTTGGCAGTTTCTTACAAAATTAAACATACTTTTACTATATGATCCAGCAGTCACACTCCTTGGTAATTACCCAAAGGAGTTGAAACGTTATGTCCACATAAAAAAGTGCACATGGAAGTTTACAGGAGCTTTATTCATAACTACCAAAACTTGAGAACAACCAAGAAGTCCTTCAGTAGGTGAATGGATGAATAAACTGTGATACCTCCAGACAATGGAATGTATTACTCAGCCCTAAAAAGAAATGAGGTATCAAGCCATGAAAAGACAAGGAGGAACCTTAAATGCATATTACTAAGTGAAAGAAGCTAGTCTGAAAAGGCTACATATTGCATGATTCCAACTATATGACATTCTGGAAAAGGAAAATGATGGAGATAAAAAGATCAGTGTTTGCCAAGAATTGGAGGGGGATGAATAGGTAGAGCATAGAGGATTTTTAGGGCAGTGAAAAGACTCTGTATGATACCATAATTATGGATGCATGTTATTTATACATCTGTCCAAACCAACAGAATATACAACACAAGAGTGAACATAATGTAAACTATGGACTTTGGGTGATTATGATGTGTCAATGTAGGTTCATCCTTGGTAAAAAAAAAAAAAAAAAGTACCATTCTGGTGAGTGATGTTGATAATAGGGGAAGCAATGCAAGTGTGGGGACAGAGGGTATATGGGAAATCTCTATACCTTCCTCTCAATTTTGTTGTAAAACTAAAATTGCTACCACCCCCCACCCCACGAAAAAAAGAGGATTCTGGGAAGATGGCAGAGAAGGAAGCACCAGGAAACTGTCTTCCTACCTAGACAAGGATTGCACTGGCAGAATCTGATGTAACCATTTTGGAACTCTGGAGTCTGCTGAACACTTGCAACTTCCAAGGGAAGGCTTCCACTGTAAAGTGTGGTGAGTTCAGCTCTTAAGCACAGTAGCAGCTGCCCATCCCCCACCCCCAGCCACGTGGCAGGCAGCTGTGCACATGTTCCTGGAGCAGCTTATACAGAGTTTGCAGGAGCTAGGGTGGGTAAAAAGGACTCTCCCCAAATATTAAGCGTCTGTGCTCTTACTGCTGCTTCTAATCACAAGTTGCAAAGAGGTGAGCAACCATTGTGGCTGCACCTCCCCCTTTTGTTGCAAGCCCCTCCACCTCAAGGTAAAGTGACTTTCAGGAGATTAAAGGACTGGCGCCCTTTCCCCCAACTCCTCTTCACTTTTCACTTTTCCCCTTTTGGGAGCCAGGCATTAAAGACTAGGACATTCAAAAAAACATATACAGGGAAAATTAGAAAGTGACCACACATGCCCAAGGAAAGGCTCAAAAAAGACATACGAAGACATCAAGTTTACACCTCAGACTGATCCTCGGCACAGAAACAGCATACAACAATAAAAAACAAAAACAATAATAAACAACAGCAAACCCTGGGAAAGGGGGAGAATCTCATTTCCCCAGTTACCAGATTATTAAACTCAAATGTCCAGGGTTCACAAACAATCAAAAGACATACAAAATAAGAGGAAAGTATGGCCCATTCAGAGGAAAAAAATAATTCAACAAAATCTGTCCCCGAAAAAGACTTAATGGCAGATGTATTAAAGAAAGACTTTAAAACAATGATCTTAAAGATGATCAAAGAACTCAAGGAAGATGTGGAGAAAGTCAATGGAAATATCAATAAATAGATAGAAAACCTAAAAAGAAACCAAAAAGAAATTCTGGAGCTGAAAAGTACAATAACTAAAATGAAAAATTCACTAGAGGGATTCAAAGGCAAATTTGAGCAGGCAGAAGAGTCAATGAACTTGAAGATAGGACAATGGAAATTAACAAGGCTTAGGAACAGAAAGAAAGAAGTTGGAAGCAAGGTGAAGAGAACCTAAAAGACCCATGGGACACCATCAAAAGGACCAATATATGCATTGTGGGAGTCCCAGAAAGATAAGAAAAAGGGGCAGAAAGAATATTTGAAGAAACAATGACTGAAATGTTCCTAAGTTTGATAAAAGACATGAATATAAACATCCAAGAAACTCAACAAACTCCAAGTAAGATGAATTCAGAGATTCACACTGAGACACTATAATCAAACTTCAAAAAGCCAAAGACAAAGAGTGAATCTTGAAAGCATCAGGAAAGAAGCAAATCCTCACATACATGGGATCCTCAATAAGATTACCATCAGATTTCTCATCAAAACCTCTGGAAGCCAGAAGACAATGGGCAAATATATTCAAAGTGCTCAAAAAAAAAAACCTGTCAACCAACATTCCCAAATTCTACAAAACTGTCCTTCAAAAGTGAAGGAGAAATCCAGACATTCCCAGATAAACTGAAGCTGAGAGAGTCTGTGGCCACTAGACCTGTCCTGCAAGAAATGCTCAAGGGAGTCCTGCAGGGTGAAAAGAAAGGACACAACTCAAAGCTGTGTAGAGAAATAAAGATCTCAATCAAGGTTAATACCTGGGCAATTGTACAAGCTAGTATTATTATAACTATAGTTTGTAAGTGTACTTTTTGTTTTCTATATAATTTAAGAGACTAATACATGTAAAGAAGATAACAATTATTAATAGCTAGTATTGTTGTAACTTTGGTTTGTAACTCCAAATCTTGTTTTCTACATAGTTAAGGAGGCTAATGCATTGGAATAATTATTAGGTTATGTTTTGGGGCACACTGTTTAATTAATTAATTTATTTATTTGTTTATTTATTTATTTTTGTGAGGAAGGTCAGCCCTGAGCTAACAACCGTGCTAATCTTCCTCTTTTTGCTGAGGAAGGCCAGCTCTGAGCTAACATCTATTGCCAATCCTCCTCCTTTTTTTTTTTCCCCCAAAGCCCCAGTAGATAGTTGTATGTCATAGTTGCACATCCTTCTAGTTGCTATATGTGGGAAGCAGCCTCAGCGTGGCCGGAGAAGCGGTGCGTCAGTGTGCGCCCAGGATCCGAACCTGGGCCGCCAGTAGCAGAGCGCGCACACTTAACCGCTAAGCCACGGGGCCGGCCCTGGGGCACACTGTTTTTAATAAAAAATAAAAAATAAAAAATAAATAAAAAAAAAAAAAAGATTTTATTTATTTTATTTTTTT